AAATATTACAGTGCCTATCAACTTGCTTTTTTAACACATTTTTGCAATTGAGTCTGAATGCTACTTTAGGAGGGCAACGTTCCGCCATTCAATTCAAATCCATGCAATGCAAAGTCCCATGAAACTCAGTAAACTAAAATAACCTTTTCGTCCAAACTTTTTCCCCAGAATTCTTGAATAACTGCCTGTGGCTGAACTGGAATGCATTTGGAAGGGTATAAATTAAGTGCAGCTAGCCCAAAAGACAGTTTGGCTTTCTACAGAGGTGTAAAGGATAAAAAAGGGATTGTGGTGGACAGTGTATTGTTATTGTGAATTATGCAGTGAGCTGAAAGAACACTGGAATAGTCATCAAAGTTCTTAAGAGCTGCTCTCTTCCAGATGAGCTAATAGAGTGGCTCTGAGGTTAACTCAAATCAAATTGAACAGTGCTGTAAAATACTTTTGCTCTTTTTGACTTCTTTCTGAAGTCAGAGTAGTGATTCTGTGACCCTACTGCCAGTAACAGCTGCATTTAGCTCAACATTATCTGCATGAAGATGACCACAAAGTTTCAGTTAAAACACATAAGACAAGCTGTAACCTTCAGAAAGATTGGTGCATTTTTGGATGTACTAAATTATCAGAAAGCATTGATCATAAATCTATGAAACCATTCATTGGGCTTACAAATATCTTCAATTAAATAACACTCAGAAGGAAGAAGTTGTTGTCCAGCACTGTTTCATTAACAGGCTTATATGATAAGTGATTGCTTGTAAAAACAGCTAGCCTTGAGAAGGAAGACCTTGGAGGTCCTTTCCAGCCTGATGTAATGGAAAGATGACACTGGAGTTATGAGATCCAGGGTAAATGATCAGCATCTCATTAATTTGTTCTATAGCTTGAATATATGTCATTTTATGCCCCTATAAATTTTGCAGGTACAGTGCTAATATTAATTATTGATTGGTTGTAAAAGTGTCGACTCCCATAAGGTACAATTAATAATGCATGCCAAACTGTGAGGTAATAAATGTGCGTTCTTTGAAAGTGAGTTAGAATGCATCAGATGCTTTTATTTTCCATTATCAAGAATGGATTTATAATTTAATTTTTTTTTCATTATACGTTTTGAGGGGAAAAAGGAATTTTATATCTTAAGACTGTATTCATTCGTTTGAAAGATCACAGAGATGCAACACTTATAGGAAAGTTTGCACATCTTATGGTACCTCTGGATATCTGTTGCACCTTTTCCCACAGGTAAAGCCTCACCTTGAATAGTGCCTTTTTCCACATCTGCACAGAAGCCCATACCACCTGGCAGGCCTTGTGAACAGTAGAGTAGAGCAGAAACATGAACCTGAGCTACAAAATGAGGAACCACATGAACTCATGTTCATCTTCCTTGGCAGCTGGGGCTGTAAGAACATGGTCCACTGAAGCCAAAGAGTCTGGTTAACTTGGCTGCAAGCAGGAGCTGACTGCAAAAGCACAGGACTCTCAGCTATTATATTGAGATTTAAGTGTAACTCTGACCCCTGAGCAATAATAACAAAAGTCTCATTGATTTCAATTAGAGGAGGCTTGGGTCTATTTACTGTAACTGAGTCAATTCGCAGAAAAAATAATTAATTCCTTGTCATGTCTGACGTGTATTGATTTTTGTAATTACAATGAAATGGGGGGCAAGGGTGGGTGGAAGGAAACGCACTTGATTTATGTTTAATTTGATGCACAAGCTGTCAAGGACAAAGAAACTGAGATGCAACGGCCATGCCCATCCTCGATCCACTCCTCTGTGCTTAGATAACAAGTGCCAGACACATGCTATAGTGGTGAATCTAAAATCAGACACTGCTCTAATGTACAGAATTCAGTACTGTGGTGTAAAGAGCTGTGTTTCTACAGCAGCCTCCACAGCATGCAGAAGAGATGCCCAAGGGGAAGAAAATAAGGACGGGACAAGCTTAATGTGGATCAATGACTAAGACGAGGAGACAAAGAATTAGAAAGAAAAAGAAAAAAAAAAGCAAGAAAAGAAAAGAAATACAAGCTGTTGCTGATAATAAAGGTGCCAGTAGACAATGTAAGAAATAAAAAAGAGTGAGAGAAAAGAAAATACATTTGGGCTTGCTTGGTAAGGATGCTGTTAGGAAAAAAGATAGCCACAAGAAAGCACATGAACTTTCTTTCCACTGTGCTTTCACTAAAATGGGAAGTTAGAAATTTTTAACCTAGAGTCAGTATTTGCCTTCTTAATTAGGTGACAGTCTCCCTTTCCAAACACGACTTGTCAGGGCGGTTGGCCTGTTTCCATACACACACACACACACAGATTTGATGATAATACTAAATTTCTAGTTTCTGCAGCATCAGAGATTAGTTTGTCACAGAGATATCCTCATTACTTACACAGATACAGTACAACATTTGGGATCCATTACAGCCAATGCCGACATTGATTTCAG